GCCGACAGGAGACACCGGTAGCGGTCGACCGCTGCTGGAGCCGCCACAGCCGGTCTCTGCCGACAGGAGACACCGGCAGCGGTCGACCGCTGCTGGAGCCGCCACCAGCGGTCTCTGCCGACAGGAGGCGCCGCAGCGTCGACCGCTGCTGGAGCCGCCGCACAGCCGGTCTCTGTCGACAGGAGACACCAGCCACTCGGCTGCGGCTTGCCGACGCGCCGCGTGACCGTCGCGGCAGCCGGTCTCTGTCGACAGGAGACACCAGCCACTCGCTGCGGCTGCCGACGCGCCGCGCTGACCGTCGCGGCAGGCCTGCTCCAGCGAGCGCACCCACGCTGCACTGGACGACGCCGTGTGTAGTGCGCACAAAGGCAAACAGCTGCCGAATAGTGAAGGCCGGCGGCGTGACGGTTAGCGCGCGTAGTAAACTGGTACGTAAGCCTAAGCAGTCCGAGCGGCGAGCTGGCGTACGTGAGCTTCACCAGAGCGTGCCTGTCGTCGTCAGCAGGTCTGGCCATCAAACTACAATGCAACTCTAACGTCTACATATCTGACTGCGTGCCGGGCGTACGTATGTGCTCAGCTGCATGCCGCCGCCACTACAGAGTTCCGTGCACTACATACTGCATCATCCACATCTAAGGCAGTGGATACCCGGCAAGGTACGGTGCAAAAGGCTGTCAGCGACCACGGACACGTGACGTGAACAGAAACCTATGACAGCACGAGACTATTTTCAGAAGAGAAGAGCGATGCCCAGCTCACTTCAAAACGGAGAAAGCGAGGTGGCCTTTCAGGGAACCTTTCAGGGAGAGAGCAGCTGTCAGTCATGCGACCCTCGGCCGCCCAGCCCCACAGCTGACGGAGCTGTCGAGCCGCGCGCACTGGCCGCTGGACAGAGCGGCCACAGCTAGACAGGCACCGGACAATCAGACAGCCTGACCACCTCAGGCGTTCAGCCTGCCCACCTCAGGCGTCCAGCCTGGCCACCTTGGGCGTCTAGCTTGGCCACCTCAGGCGTCCAGCTTGGCCAATTCATCGCGGTACACGGCCAGACTCTCAGCGTCAAAGAGCACGAAGAAGACGTCCTTGAGCGACGAGGACATGACGTTGACGAAGTAGTCGTGAATGGCGCGTAGGATGATGCGGGCCGCGTCCGCCTTCTCCAGACCACCCCTGACGGCCAGGCGCACGGGTGTGGGGTCAGACGGGGAGCGGCGGCGACGGTGGGCCAGGCGCCGCCCGGCCGTGCTCGCACAGCGCCAGCGGCCAGCCAACACAGCGGGGCTGGGTCGAACGCGAGATCAGCTCGGCCACAGCTCAGTCCTACAACAGGCACTGCGAGAATCACGGCCGACCGCAGCCGCCGACCAGTGACTCTGATCGACGGAAATCGAACGGATAACGCGCTCGAGCATCACATTGCGACGACGGTGTGAGCTATGGGACTAGGCGTCGCACGAGACCCGGCCCGGCGAGGCCTGGTCAGCCCGACCAGCCGATCGGTCCGCAGCCAGCGCCACCTATACGACGCGACCGCCACCTATACGGCGTGACTCGAACCAGCCACCGGGGACTTACTTGCCGCTGCCGATGGACGGAAGCGCGATCGACTTGAGGTTCTTCTGGTCGGCCACGGCCAGACAGTTCTTGACGGACTTGGTCAGCTTGTCCCCGATGTTGGTGTCAGCTGTCGGGCGCAGCGCACCGTTAGCGGCACACCCCGCCACGGGCCGCCAGCTCAGACCGAGTGGGGCGGCGCGAACCGCAGGCGGGCACGGACCGCTGCTTCAGCAACGGACGGCTCTGGGGCCTCACGGCAGACGCGATTACCGCGGACACCAAACGTCGTCAGAGACACAGAGACAGCGAGTCGGGGCCCAAAGTATCAGCGTCGCCAGTTAACACCTTCCCCGGCAACATCACACTCAATCCACAATCGAGCAACACCGTCGTTGTCCTACGCCAAAATAACAAAGGAGCGGCGGCGGGGCACTCTGGGCTTGAGGCACCGAGCGGACGTCAAGAGCCAGCCACGCGACCGGCACGGGGGAGGCGCGGCTCGAGACACCGGTCCCCACTCACTGTGGGTGGGCCCCGTTGACGTGGATGATCCAGTTGGCAGGCACGTTATTGGTGGAGAGAGGCGTCGCTGGAAAGAGCACGGCATCCTGTCACTGTAAGAAGGCGCATCACTGGAAACAGAGGTAGCTTGCATCTGGTGGGAAGGAGCGTCGCCGGAAACAGAGGGTTAGCTTGCATCTCGTGGGAAGGAGCGCCGCTGGAAACAGAGGGTAGCTTGCAGCTGGTGGGAAGGAGCGCCGCTGGAAACTGAGGGTAGCTTGCAATCTGGTGGGAAGGAGCGTCGCTGGAAACAGAGGGTAGCTTGCATCTGGTGGGACAGAGCGTCGCTGGAAACAGAGGGTAGCTTGCATCTGGTGGGAAGGAGCGTCGCTGGAACAGATGGTGACACGTAACTGGGTCTGGACTCTGATGCTACGAAAAGCTACCTATCCAGGCCTCAACGGATGGTCGTTTGCTCAGCTGCTGCCTGATATGGGCGAACAAAGGCGTGGCATCCGCCTCCAACGTGGCGTGGCGCACGGAGGGGTGACGCGGTACCCGCACACGACGAACAGCTGGGGCCGGCCTCCCCAGTATGGCGCTGCGAGAGGGCTGACCGAGGCCCTAGGAGATCCAGCGATAGTCACAGCATGACCAAGGACGGTGGGAATAAAGCTCTGACTGGCCAGGGCCATGGTGGTTAGACTGGGTCCTGGCAAATCAGAAGGCCAGACATGCAGTCAGACATCCCGCAGGCATTGCAAGCGAGAAGAGAAGGGTGCGCATGATCCTAACCATGCGTTCGCTGAGCTCCAGCGAGGAAAGCAGGGCTGAGAACAGTGCGGAGCTCCGCAGGGCCGCCAGGGGGGCCAGGGTGCCGACGAAGCCAGAGGGAGGAGCGAGCGGGAGGGCCGCGGGCGGTGCGTACCTCCGCAGGGCGCCAGGGGGCCCCGGCTCCAAGGGAGCCGACGGAGGAGGCAAATACGGCCGCGGGCGGTGCGTACCTCCGCAGGGCGCCAAGGGGCCCCGGCTCCATGGGAGCCAGAGGGAGGGAGGGCGAAACAGGGCCGCGGGGGGGGGGGGGAGGGGGCGTACCTCCGCAGGGTGCCAGAGGGCCGTGGCTCTTGCGCAGCTCCTCGAGGGCGGCGTCGTAGCCGGGGGTCCCTCGACGGCCTCCAGCGCGGCGCCCACCTGCCCCGCCAGAGCGAAGCCGGACGCGTCGGGTGCCACCACCGCCTGCACGCTCGCCATCGCGATGTCGCCCGCTCACCACGTGCAGCTGCCGGCGCCAGGGGCGCGGTGGTCAGCGGCGACGCACCGGGCGGGCGGCGCGAGGCACGGCCGCCGGCACAGGGGAGACGCGGCGGTGGTCAGCTGGCGGCGCGCGGCACAGACCGGCACAGGGGGGAGACGCGGCGGTGGTCAGCAGCGACGCACCCGGGCGGCGGCGCGAGGCACAGACCGGGCACAGCGGGATGACGACGGCGGTCCGGTGGTCAGCGGCGACGCACCGGGCGGCGGCGCGCGGCATCGACCGGCCCTCCTCGAGAATGCAGCACGGTATGACGGAGCCTAAGGAACTTGGTCAAGAAAGTCCTGCCGTAGCAGCTGTTTAGGCCCGGGGGCACGTTATTACCCCGTCTGCAGCCCCCTCACCGTCTGGCCGAGGAACAGCTTCTTCTCCGAGAGCGGGGCGAGATTGGCGTTAGGCTTGGCTCGCCTGCCGGCCGCTGTAACCGAGGACATAGAGACATAGGTCCTCCGGCGGCTTTTACACAGCACGACAGGAACGACAGGGTCACGAGTGTCACCGATGACCCACATCGCACACAGCTGGCGGGTGAACATTGGGACAATGGCAAATTCCTCGGGAAAGCACACATCATTTGGACAACCTTTCCGACCACCAAGAAGCAGCCGCTCATTCACATCACCACACAAAGTTGTTAGGTCCGTAAAAAGCAGCACATGAAACCTGCGTCAAGCTAAAACAAAGCAGTGAAACAGCGCTAGAGATTGCTGTCGGCAGCCCCGTGGCGGACCGGTGACCCAACGTGAGGCAGGGGGCGGTCAGGCACGTGAACAGGGACGGTCCGACAAGGCAGAGGCGACGGCGCCGACCTTTCTTGGGCGGGGCGCGTGGGGTGGGGCGCCACCACGCCGACTTTTCTTCTGCGCGGCGGTTGGCGGAGCCTGACTGAGCACGTGGACGCCGTTACCGCTGTGGGGCACACACATCATACAGTGAGCGCTGGGAGAGACCACGGCAGCGGGCACACATATCACACGGTGAGCGCTGGGAGAGACACTGCAGCGGGCACACATATCACACGTGTGAGCGCTGGGAGAGACACGGCTGCGGGCACACATATCACACGGTGAGCGCTGGGAGGGGACACGGCTGCGGGCACACATATCACACCGGTGAGCGCTGGGGAGGGACACGGCTGCGGACATTACACATCATACGGTGAGCGTTGGGAGAGGACGCGGCTGCTGGGCGGGCACACATATCACACGGTGAGCGCTGGGAGGGAAACGGCTGCGGGCACACACACCATACGGTGAGCGTTGGGAGAGGACGCGGCTGATGCGGCGAGCTACACCGCCGGCGGACAGGCGTCAGTGGTGTCAGAACAGAGACCACAGTCACGACAGGAGAGATTGTACAAAAGTAATCGCACCACAGCTAGACACCAGAAAGTACGAAAACAAAAGATTATTATTTTCTGTCCTTTTATTTTTTTGTTTTAGATTCCAGCTGTATTGCAACTTGTTGCGCCCTTTCTTCCGCAGCCCTTGTTACCGTAATAAAATACGTCCCTTCAACATGTGCTCAAGCAAACATATTCTCAAAAGAACCTAATGAAAACAATGTATGACCCATTTTTATCGTAGCACCTGGATATTCACTGATATCAGCATTACTTATTCGGATCTTTTAAATCATAATCAAAATAATAAGAGGTAGATGAAATGTCAATGCATTTCGCTGTCAAGCTTCTCCAGGAGTCAAGTCCTCGAGAATTCTGTTAAGCTGCAAAGCAAAGCTTATTGGCCCTCTTTTTCGGCATTATTTCCATGACATGAATATAGGCTAATGAACCTACCTGACAATGGCATCAGTATTCCAATCATACGCGACTACTTGTCACAAATCCCATGAAATTGGAGACGTGCAACTGACATGTAGACGACCCGTTGGACAAAACCACAAACCGGAAATCACATCCGCAAAACAGCAATCTACAACCGCAAAACCGTTAACCACAATCGTGGAACGGGAGACCAAAACCGCAAAACCGTAAATCACAACCTCAGAACCGCAAACCACAACCGCACCTCCTGCATGTCCATTCAAACAACAGGATATGCAGTCGAGCATGGTTGAGCCTGATTGGCTGCCCTGGCAGACCGCTGGGAGTGAGCACCACCAGCACCGGCAGCTGGGAGCCAGCCCTTAGCAGCGGCAGCTGGGAGCCAGCCCTCAGCACCGGCAGCTGGGAGGCGGCCGGCGGAGCGGCGGCGGCTGACACTCACCCGGCATGGAGGCCGTGTCGCCCCGCTTCACAAGCAGCGACGGGTGAATACGGGGTAGTACGCCGCCCTGGGGAATGGTCACCCCGCGCAAGAACTGCAACACACACGGACCTTTGTCAATACGGAGAACCACCGTGGTGTGCTGAGACAGAGACGGCGACAGACATGCACATGTATCGACAGGAATAGCGGGAGGCGACACACACTACGCACGACAGGCCCATAACAGGACTGGCACACTACAGAAGGAAACGTGCTGGAAGAGTCCCTCATAGTCACTGCACTGTATTGAGGAACTACGTAAGACGCGGACCGACTATTCCAGTCCAGGAGGGCGATATGATGAACACATCCGACACGACTGCAAGCCGTGTGTATGGCGCTAACGCCGTGTGACATGACTAGCCACGGATCTCTTTGCTGCCATAAGCACGCACTGGGCCAAGTCACAGGGCATGCCTGCCAGCTGATGGCAGCACATTCCACGCACCGACCGCGCGATGGGAATAGTTGGGCTGCAGGGGTTGCAATGGGCACTGAAATTGTGTCAACACGTCCGAAGCAACACGCTGTGTATTCGTATCATGGAAGCTCAAACTCCCTACGGTCAGACAGCCGTTGACCCACACTTGCGCGCACACCATACGGCCCGGGGCGCGGGTGTGGGACAGAGGGCTGCATCAAGCGGACACATAGCCCTACAGCTCGCATACAGCCCCGGGAGTGGGTGTGGGACAGAGGGCTGCATCAAGCGGACACATAGCCCTACAGCTCGCATACAGCCCCGGGAGTGGGTGTGGGACAGGGGGCTGCATCAAGCGGACACATAGCCCTACAGCTCGCATACAGCTCCGGGAGTGGGTGTGGGACAGGGACGCATCAAGCGGACACATAGCCCTACAGCTCGCATACAGCCCGGGAGTGGGTGTGGGACAGGGGGCTGCATCAAGCGGACACATAGCCCTACAGCTCGCATACAGCTCCGGGAGTGGGTGTGGGACAAGGGACTGCATCAAGCGGACACATAGCCCTACAGCTCGCATACAGCCCCGGGAGTGGGTGTGGGACAGGGGTCTGCATCAAGCGGACACATAGCCCTACAGCTCGCATACAGCCCCGGGAGTGGGTGTGGGACAGGAGCTGCATCAAGCGGACACATAGCCCTACAGCTCGCATACAGCCCCGGGAGTGGGTGTGGGACAGGGGACTGCATCAAGCGGATACATAGCCCTACATCGCATACAGCCCAGGGAGAGGGTGTGGGACAGGGGACTGCATCAAGCGGACACATAGCCCTACAGCTCGCATACAGCCCCGGGAGTGGGTGTGGGACAGAGAGCTGCATCAAGCGGACACATAGCCCTACAGCTCGCATACAGCCCCGGGAGTGGGGTGGGACAGAGAGCTGCATCAAGCGGACACATAGCCCTACAGCTCGCATACAGCCCCGGGAGTGGGTGTGGGACAGGGGGCTGCATCAAGTGGACACAGCCCTGCAGCTCGCATAAAATGAACGCAACACGCCTGGATAAACAGCACAGCAAAGAACCAGCACAGAGCCGAGTGCAAAGCCGCAAGGTCCAGACTGCTCTGCCGGCCGTGTATAGCCCCTCGTACTCACAGACAGCTCCACCGGCCGTGTAGCCTCATCCTCTCAGACAGCACCACTGGCCGTGTGTAGCCCTCGTCCTCCCAGACAGCTCCCAGACAGCACCACTGGCCGTGTGTAGCCCCTCGGCCTCCAGACAGCTCCCCAGACAGCACCACTGGCCGTGTGTAGCCCTCGTCCTCCCAGACAGCTCCCCAGACAGCACCACTGACCGTGTGTAGCCCCTCGGCCTCAGACACCCACTGGCCGTGTGTAGCCCTCGTCCTCCCAGACAGCTCCCCAGACAGCACCACTGGCCGTGTGTAGCCCCTCGGCCTCCCAGACAGCACCACTGGCCGTGTGTAGCCCTCGTCCTCCCAGACAGCTCCCCAGACAGCACCACTGACCGTGTGTAGCCCCTCGGCCTCCCAGACAGCACCACTGGCCGTGTGTAGCCCTCGTCCTCCCAGACAGCTCCACTGGCCGTGCGTAGCCCCTCGGCCTCCCAGACCGCTCCACCGGCCATGTGCAGCTCCTACCCCCTCCCAGCCACCCCACTAACCGTGTGCAGGCCCCTCACCATGCATGCAGGCCCCTAGGCAGCCACAAGACTGACCTTGTGCAGCTCCTCGTCGTTGGCGATGGCCAGCAGCAGGTGCCGGGGCGTGATGCGACTCTTCCTGTTGTCGCGAGCGGCGTTCCCGGCCAGCTCCAGCAGCTCGGCTGCTCGACACGCCACCCACAGACACACATACTCAGTCAATCGCTGGCAGCGGCTGACACACCACGGACACACACACTCGGTCAAGCGCTGGCAGCGGCTGACACACCACGGGCACACACAC